AGTTTAGGAGAGGTGTACAGCAAGGAGGGATGAGTCATGGGAATTAAGACTGAGAAAAGTAGGAGGGAGAAGATCTCAGTCTTGTAAAAGCACACTAAAAAATTCTACAGGAGTTGGGGCAAAAGTCTCTATGCTATTGGAGATCCACCTTTAAAGTTTTAAAGTCTCCACTCCTCAGCAAACTAGGTCTAGAGGTTCCATTCAACCCAGCTATTCCTCTTTTGGGTATTTTCCCAGAAGATCTGAAAACATCATATCACAGTGATATATGTGCACCCATGTTCATAGCAGCGCAATTTGTAATTGTTAAATTGTGGAAGCAACCCAAATGTCCATCCACTGAGGATTGGATAAAAAAATTGTGGAACTTTTATATAATGGAATATTACTCAGCTGTAAAGAAAGATAAACTCGAGGCTTTTACAGGGAAATGGTCACAACTAGAGACCATACTCATAAGTGAAATAAATCAGACCTACATTGGTAAGAATCATATTGTCTCACTAGTGTAAGACCTGAAAGAGTGAATAAAAACTAGGAGGTATGATAGACATTGTGAAACAAAAGGAAAATGCTCAAAAGTAAAGGGCAACTGGGGTATGGGAAACGAGAAGGGAAAGAAGGGGAAAATATGTAAGTATGTATATACAGGATAGCTAACATAGTTGTACTACTGTCTTCTATTGCTCTACAGAAAGGAACAGTTAATAATTATTTGTTTGATCAATCTTGTATGTCTCTATTTGTTTACTTGAGAAACCACTTTTAGGATATCAGTAAGTAATACAACAACCACTGTTAATCTCCTGCAACTTTGTCTGTAACTCTGTTTTGTTTGTATTGTTCTTAAGCTATTTTGTAAATGGATGTCTGTTTGTTAATATGTTTTCCTTCTTTTATTTCTTAAAATAAAAAAATACAAAAAAATAAAATAAAGTCCAAAGTTTCCAAAAGTGCCAGATAATGAAACCTCACATTCCAAACCTCCAAACGGATTGTTTTCCCAGCTGCAGTTCACAGTGAGAGAAACAGTATATACTAGTGACCAGAACATCATTCCAGAGCTGGTCCTACTACACATCTAACCTCAGGCAAATCAGTTCTGAAGGTGGTTTACTTCCTGAAGACACCAGTCAACCTGAGAATGATACAGATACTAATGAGTCTATTGCAAAAATCCAAAGCTCTCTGAGCTGTTTGAATCTTCTAATATAACTATAGTTATTATTTCATCGGAGGAGTAAGTGATCCCTTAATGTGGCCTCATTAACATCAAAAAAGCAGACAGAGCCAAAGCCAAAACTGACTCCTGATTTCTTCCAAATCCATCCAAACCACTTCTCTTCTTGGAAGACAATTCAGAAAAATATTTTATTACTTAAACATAACTGACAATAAATTCAGATGATAAAAACTTATAATCACATCCATTTTATAATTCTTCCTTAACTCCTCTTAACTGTGATGATTTATGCACATGAAAATCTACTTCTATAACCAAATGATTCCTATCAGACTTGGAAAGTCTGAAATAAGGAAAACAGATCTTTTCTTTTTTCTTACCACTCAAGTGTAACACAGAAGACAATATATGATATGTTCATAGGAATGGTTATTAGGTAATGGTATGTTCAAGCAGGTGAAAAAGGAATAGTGGAACTACTTCATTTTTAAATTCCCTTTCAAATCTAAAAGTCATATCATAAATGTAAATGGGGTTGGTTTATAAAGAGCACTAAATGCCAATACAGTAATCCTTTGGTACACACACCCAGCATGCAAGGATACCAAGATCTGAAGATGCTCCAATCCTTTATAGAAAGTAGCATAGTATTTACAAACAACTCATGTATATCATCCCACATATATCCTACTTCTTCCTCCTTGCAGTTCTAGGGATCAAACTTGGGCCTTATGGAAGCCAGGCAAGTGCTCTACCACTGAGCTACATACCCAACCCATCCCACACACTTAGATCATCTCTAAATTGTTTTTAATACCCAATACAATGCAAATACTATATAAAAGCTCTCATACAGCATTATTTACAGAATAATGATGTTGAAAAATCTGTATATGTGAAGAACAGACACAAGCTGTTCAAAGTCCTTTCGATCTGAAATTGGTTCAATGGATAAATGTGGAATCTATGGAACAAAGAGTTAACTGTATTAAAAGTTTAGATATTATAATAAAAATTAAACTTATTCTGGCTTGCACATGCTTGTGTCTGGTGGTCTGAGCAACTGATTTGAAGGTAACAATATGCAGTAGAATTACAATGGTGAACTCCTACCACCTTGTCTAGTGAAACTCTATTATCTCTACTGTTTAATCAAAGAATTATTTTCTTATTCTCTTTAATGGTTTGAGCAATCTGTCATTCTTACATCTGGTAATCTGAGCAATGTAGTTGAGGACAACAATATGTAACAACCACTGTTGATTCTTATTATTTTGTCTTGAGACTCTGTATCACTTTGAATGTTCTTGCTTTGATCTGTTTATGTTTGTGATACTGGTATGCTGCCACTGTTCTATTTCTGTTTGTTTGTTACGCATTTACTACTCTCTTTAAAATAAAATAAATAAATAAATAAATATATTCTGGCTTTAAGAGATGATGTAAAAGGCTAGATACAAGAAATACCTTTCAAAGACTAGAACAGAGACAAGGAAAAATGAAGGAAATCCATATAAGAGAACCAATGGGGAAAGGGAAGCAAAGCCTGAGAGTAAAGGTGGAATGGGCAGTGTTTACTAACTAAATAATTCTGATAGGCAAGGAAATGGAAAAGAGAACAAATATGATCCAAAGTTGGGACACATGTGGCCAAGAGAATAGTAGTACCACAACCCTCTCCTCCAACAATCACAGAAATGGACAATTTTCTTACTTCACTTCATGCATGCATTTGCAATGATAATTTTGAGGGCTGGGTTATCCCTAAACCAATTAAATAAAAAACTAGGGGACTGGGGGATAGGAATCTACAAATATGCATTTTATAGCAGGCTGCCCAGGGGATTCTTAAACACACTAAAGTCTGACAACAAAAGGCCCTTGCCAGTTCCTATTTGAACATAATTGAGCTGAGTTTAAACATCAGTATCAAAAATAAAAATGAATTATGTATTAAAAGCCTATTCCATTAGCGGATTACATTCTATTAACTGATTATAGATAGGATTAATGAAGCCTTAAACGAATAAACCTATAGTTTCCATGTTTTCTCTCATCCTAAATTATACCAGTGATTATCATTTAATTTAACCTATTAAACTTGAAAGCACACATAAATACAACACCAAACTTAACAAGCCCCTCACCTATCATGATTCCACATCAGTCACATATCTCATACATTTTTACCATTATACAAATGGTCCTCATAACAAATAAAGAGTGTATTTTTAGAGATGAATTTAGTGAATTAGTATTTTGGAGAATTACCACAGTTAAAACAATGCTGGCTTCTAATTAAGCTCACTCATTAAGGAAATCTACATATTATTTCCTTATCTAATCACTCTGAGTGTTACTACAGAACTAATTTCTATGCATACATTTCAAAGAGTAAAACAGAGCATTCAAATCTCTGTACGATCGCTCTGGCATAGCACTGCTTAGTAGGAGACAAGACTCAACTGAGTGGAAAAATGAAAATCAGATTTTGATATTGCTTAAATTTTGGCATGTCTGAGAGAATTACACAAATATTTTTCTCTCAAAATAACTGTAATATTTTATTTACTACCAGTAGCAATGCTACAATTCATTCATCTCCTTTGGATAAGAACCATCATAGTTGTAGAAGGAACACGACATGAGGATATACCACTTTGATCAACTTCTGCTTAATTACAAACATTTACTTATTTCCAGAGTTTTAAAATCTAGATGGCTTAACATCATTCATAAGATTGCCACTTATGATGGAAAAACTGCATTAACTTGATATATAGATATATAGATCGATAGTTATAGATATAGATTTGAAACTTGAAGATGAAAACTTTACAGCTGCTACCTAAGTCTATTTTCTTCCCATTTTGGAAAAAAATCACGTGGCAAAAAAATCCTGAAACGCTATAATGATGTTGTTTTGATGTTTGAAGTTATAAATGTTGCCATCACAAAGATAACAATAAAGTAACTAAAGACATTGAAACCCTCCAAGTCTATTTCTTTTCCTAGCATGAATTTCCTTCCTCCATTCTCTCTGTCAATGAAAAACAAATCCTTAATTTTCATTGAAACTTAGCTGATGGAGGAAAAATTACCTCTCTCAAAAACAACTTACCAAGATTAATAAGAATTTTGAGCGAAAAGTAGTTTTCACAGGGCCATTTTCAGACTTCATTTTTACTATGAGTTGTTCTTTTAAAAAATGATACAGCATTTCATAACATTTGTATTTCTTGCCAGTATTTTTCTAATGTCCTACACATTCTTTTTTGTTATAAAATAATCTCATACATACATCTTTATATCTGCTTTTTCTCATCCATCACTGTGTTATCATTTGTTATATCATGCTACAGTCACAATAATTACTGCACACTTTCTGAGGGGTGACAACTTGACATATACTTACTTAAACTTTGTAACAAACTTGTCAAAATGAGCATTGTAGAGCTTGGATAAGGACACTGATCATCAATCAGCTATGAGTAGTAAAATCAGGACTCCAACCAAGCACTTTCTCTCCCTAAACACCTCCCCTCAAATCACTACACTACACTACCTTTCAAATTTTTTCTGATACCAGGAATTGAACTCAGGACTTTGCACTTGCCAGGCAGGCACTGTGCTGCAAAGCTATCTCCCTGGCCCTCAAATATTTTAAATTAAAAAAAAAAAATGATATGCATTAAGTCATCACAGTACATTTATCAAAGAAACCAGTATGTTATTCACTTGTAATATTCAAGCTCTGTGAAAAAGAATTCAAATACCAATAAAATTATGATTCCAAAGATTTAACATACAAACTTACTTGTAACTTTCCACTTGGCGGCAGGAAGAGACAGTAATAAAGGAATCTGTACGGGCACTGTAAGCAAGAGGGCCAGGTAGAAGAGAACCAGGGAGAAATCGTCCAAAAGCATAGCTTTCCTGCTCAAACACCATCAGCATCCCATCCATAGACTGGATACAAATCAAATCTCGACCTAAAGAAAAATGAAAAGAAATAAGGTAATCTATTCTTTTTATAAGTATGTGGTCAGTTATTACTATCCACCACAAATGTATCTGTGATGGCTGACTGACTGTGTAAACTTGAATACGAGAAGTTTAACTAAATTGGCTCAGCAATTCCATACTCTTGGGTACGAAAGGCCCACTTTCGGATAGCTTGTTGCCTGGACAGCATAAGGGGGAAAGGAAGAAGGATGTATCTACTTGTGTTTCTTTGGAGGAGCTCGCATCTTGGCCTTCACCTTGGATGTCATTTCCTGACTTCCAGTGCAGACTCTTTGGCTTCTAGTGCAGATCCGTCAGTCTTCCAGCGTAGACTCTTCAGCCTTTCATTGCAGATCCACCGGCCTCCTGGCACACACTTGCAGTGAGCTCCAGACCTTCGACTAAATCCTTTGGTCTGCAGTGTGCAGACAGGCCCTCCGCACTCTTCCTAATCTGACTCTGTGGGTGGCCACTGTAAGCCAATCATGCAGACTGTTGTATAATTGTATATCTTGTGTTATATCTGTTTCTCTGGTAAACACTGACTGATACAATGTCATAGTTAATTTTTCCACAAGGGGCAACTCCAAGTAAATTTTAAGTAACAAACCAGTGAACTATCAGGTTATTATACACATCAGATTATAATGTAAATTTATTTCCCAATTTTAATTATTCAATAGATGTCTATCATTTTAAATACATTTGTTTTTATTTACTATATGCTAAAATCTCCTAGTTCAAGATCATTCCTGAGAACAATCATAACTGTAAGGTTCCACTTCTTCCAAATTCAGAAATACAACAAAAACTCCTCTTCATTCAACTGCTTCTCTTCTTCATCCTTCCAGTCTCATGAATTAAAATGACAGACATCAGTCAATACAACAGAGAGAGGCTGGGGTGCAGCTCAAAGGCAGATGGCATGCCTGCTAAGGCACAGAAACAACAGGTCAAATCTATGCACTTGTCTTAATTCGTTCTGTACAAATCACAATGTTCAGCAGTACAGGAAATGAAAAATACTAATCCCTGACTGCCCTAAACAATGAGCTGGTTTTGGTTTCTTCTATCAATCTATCCGTAGTAACTATAATACATTTCTTAAAATATGCTGCTATTGCTGTTTCCTATGACACAGTATCATATTTGTTAAAGCAATCAAGCCTATACTATATTTAAAATGCAGCATCTACCCAAGCCTAACGATCCACCATCCATCATTGATCCCTCTTAAAATTTGGTTTTGCTTGACTGAATCCTAATAACCACTACCCCTCCAAAAAAAATCACCTATAAAAGACATACTGGGACAAGTGAGAAACTTTAATATAACTACATGGTAAATAACTAATGCAGCACAGTTAATTTTCATAAATGTGATCACGATATTATAATAATGTAAGAGAATGTTCTTACTGAAAGATATGTGCTGAAGGACTTACAGAAAATTGGTGAAAAAGTCTGTAAGTTACTTTCAAAGGGGTCATCAAAAAATGTGTGTGTGCAGAGATGTATATATACTTACAACTGTTGACTTACATGTGAAAATATGAGTGTTCCTATTACTCTGTCTATATACCTACAGAAAAGCAAAAAATTTATATATATTTTATATATGAAACACTTTTGTAATGACCTTGACCTAAAGGGAAGAGAAATATTATGGTAATCAAAATATACTCTTCACATCTGTGAAGTCAGAGCATAAGTACTTGCAAGCAGAAGTACAAATAAAAGCTGTGTTCATTTTATTATGTGGTATTGTTGAACCAGAAATCTGCAGTCTCCAAAAGTCCTTAAAGAAGTGGTCTACAAAACGTGGCGCCAGACGAGCAGCATCAGCATCATTCAGGAACTTTTCAGAACGACAAATGCTAGGATCCCAACCTATACCAACTGACTCAAACTCTGGAGGTTAGGGCTGAGCAATTCAAGGTTTTAACATACAATTGAGATGATCTGGGCATATGCTAAAATTTAAAAACCACTGTCTTTATTTAGCATAAAAGGACAGAGAGAAAGCTTAAAGAAAGTATAGGGGAAAGGGGATGTAGGCAGAGAAAAGAATAAAATAGGGCCTCATTAACCTTTATTAAAGAAATTCATAGAAAATCTTACTAAAAGCAGCTTTTCCTGGAGTTACACTAAAAAAATTAAACAGATATAGTTAAAGAAAGACAGAAACCAAGACCAGGCAAGCTGGCAGGTAACACAATTAACATTAAAATGTATCAGGAAGAGTTGGCAACAAAACAAGGATGTAGCTAGGAACATAAAAGACCAGGGTAACCACCCTCTTACTCTATAAAGTGCAAAGGAGACAAGGGGCAGCCACCTAAAACTCTTATTTACTATATAAAAAGATATATACCTATACTATACATACATATTTTATATATATATATATATATATATATATATTCACTCTAGAGTCAATATTACTGCATGAGATACACCCTTTAATTTCTAACTCTAAGCTGCCCTCCTATGAGGTTCCCTACATACACACTTATCCATCACAAAATGACAGGAAGGAATCAAAGGACCAAAAAGGATGTAGGAAAAGGTACCCCAGCTAGGATCAAAGACAGCCAGAGGGCCAAACTGTTACAAGTTCCAGATGCCTACACAAGGAAGACACTAGTCTTGACAGAAGGCTGAGGGCAAAGGCCCACAAGTATTCACCCTTTTGATGCCCCCTTCTCTGCTAAGTGGCTGTCTATATCTTTTCCTTCTCCACTCTCCAAATAAATCATCTTCCTTTATTTTAAACTTTGTTCATTTAAACTTTTTTACTGGTGCTGAGCTTTATGATCCCAGTTAGCTGGGTGTTCCAGGAGAGTAGTGTGCAGCATACACCCGACACAACATATTTGGTTCCCTCAACAGGAACCAAAGGAAGACTACTGGACCCAGTGTTCTTTCAACCTCTCTATCTAAACCAAAGGGCTCTTTGAAGGAGTGTGTATTTCAGAGACTGGGGAGGGAGCACAGGGACCTTTGCCACTTGCACTGGGGCTCCAGCTGGTTGCTGCTTGGTTTGGGGCAGGGGATGAAAAATAATGTTACATCTCCCCCTGGTGGACATTGTGTTTCATGAAAACTTTAAGAATGATTCTAGGACAGTGATGAGGAACCTTTTAGAGCTTCCATGGATAATAAACAACACGCTGCAGCATGCATGCCATGGGTTTACCACCAACTGTTCTAGGATGTGATATAATCTAGCCCATATAGAAAATAATATGCCTTATATGAAATGCAGGACTCTCAGCCAAATAGAAGTGAAAACGCAGCTGCCATTCTTAAGTCCGTAAGGACAGGGTTTATGGGGGCAGTCTGGCCTGATCCCCTCTCCACAATCATGGAGCTTGGCTGCCTCAGTTTTCTTTCCTGTTTGAGCCTCTGTTGGCAGAAGACAATTTCAGCTCTTGATGTTCCCAAGCTCTTATGTTACAAGACTAGGGCGATGACTCCTGAGCACATTTTCTCATTCACTTACCACAAGCATATGAGGTGAAAAACCCCGCTTTTTCTTTTCTCTCCTCTATTTTCCTGCCATTTTTTCTTTTCTTCTTTTGGAGGTGTGTTTCTACTAAAGATCAAAGAGACAGACCCTAAAAAGGTTTTAATAAGGGAGGTTTTCTAAACTTTTCTGAACCAAAGGACATAAACTCAGTCCACCTGATGCCATGGCTCCCCTTTTTGGGTGGCCAGGATCATGCCATCCATGCAGATTCAACTAGCTGATCAGGAGATAGCTGATGCTATGCATGGCACTTGGGAAAGTCAATAGAATTGAGCCAAGAAAAGAGCCCAGTGGTTTACCTTTTCTCTTAGTCTCCCACTCCCAAAGAAGGCCTCAACCCCCTTGGTCTTTCCCCTCTGAGCACTGATTCTCATCATTTATGAATGTAAGGGACGGAGGAAATTGTCATATGTACTCTTGCTAATGTGGCTGCTGGACAACGAGTATAGACTTTAATCTGTGAGACATAGGAATCTTCAGAGTGTGTCTGATTAAAACCCACACTTGTCCTGCTGCTGAGGGCGGGGAGAGGGGGGTACCCTGGCATTGCATGAAGTGAGGCCCTGACTAGAGCCCTCCTAGCTCCACCTTCTCATCTTCCATTTGTTCTGTCACTAAGCCCCTAACTCTAACAATTTGGCTTGTAACCGCAAGACAAATAGGGGCCCATATAGGAAACAATGTGCCAAGGGGTTTCTCTTCCTGCTCTGGGATAAAACTTGGAATAAAAATTAAAAGACAAACCCAGTGAATCCCCTCAAGCTGGGCAGTGACACCCATTCACCTCACCCCCTGGGAACTGGGGAGAGACATTTTCTAGACCCCACCCCTCCAGAAGTGGATAGCAGTGCCCATTCACCTCACACCCTGAGAACTGGGCAGCTGTACCCATTCACCCACACACACCGGGGTGTAGCTGTACTGCAGTGCCCACTGAACTCAGCGGCACAAGCAATCTGCTCACTTGCCAGCCCCCTGCACAGCCCCCTGCACAGCCCACTTGCTTAAAAAAAAAAGAAGAAAAGAAAGCAAGCCCTACATTCACTGTGGAATCTGGCTTTAACAGCCACCTAACCCCTTTATTAAAAAGGACGGGAGCTTCTGGGAACTGTGTTTGAGACACAGAGCAAACATCATTACTGGGAGCACAAAAAGCACCACCAGAGCCTTGGTCCCATTCCCAGAGGAGGGAGAAAGACACCATCAGAGAAAACTGCTCCTAGCTCATGTACAAGTATAGCATGGGTGAACCCCGACAGTAGAAAGGAGAGCCAGGAGGGGAGTTCAAGGCTACACTTGGACTTCCCAGTGAGATGGAAGACATTCCATCTCTTTAAGAGTCAGAGGATCTTCCTATTTGCATCAAAGGAGTTCCCTGGGATTCGATGGTACTCTTATACCCAGTCTTTCTCTTACTCCCATCTCTAGATGGTAACCAGCCATAACTACCACACT